CATATATAGAGATAACAGCGAAATATCCGCTGGGCGAATACGGATATGAACGGTGAAGGGGGAATATTTGACATGTCGAAAATTTGCCGGTAATAGAGTAAGTCAAATCTAAAAATGAAAAATCTTAAGAACGGTCGATATCATAAGTTAAATGGTCCGTTAAACCTACTGTAAGCCACACTGTATGACGCGGGTGTGCGGGTGAAAAAAAGTATGGACGCCTAATTATATAAGTGGTATGGACTTTAGCGATATCCATTCTATTGGTAACGGCACAGACACTGCAACTGTCAACTACACCCTGTACTCATTTCTCAAAAGTTAAAATTGCCTTGTTGTTTTTACCGGGAACAAAGCAAAATGTGCAGCGCTTTTACAAGGAAATATAATCCTCGCCCCTTAAAGTATGAATAATAACTCACAGGAAATGTGTGTCGTGTGTATTTCAGTGTAGGTCTATCGATTAGTGCATTTCCCAGGTTGTCTCCGATAGGCTACTGATACACTGGTAAGATAACATTCGTATTTAGAAACAAAATGCGTTTTGTTGGTATCGATTTCGGCTTATCGATACGATTTTCTGTTACCCTAGTTTACAACTAGAACGTCCTTATTTTTTTTTTAAATGGAGAATCGATTTCGCAATTTTCGAAATCAATGATTGTTCATTTGTCTGCTGAATCACACATATCTCGAGTATTGAACCTGAACATAACTTGTCGCTATTATAAACCAAAGCAAAGAACAATGATAAACGACTTTATTAAGCCCGATTATCTTCTTTTACAATCACGATCACACAGTATTATAGAACTGGATACATCCGCCGTCTTATTTAAGCATGCACTGTAATATAAGTCACATTAGTCGCCTCACGGTTGCGTATTGGGATACCAGTCATGTTCGTCGCCTAACACGGTAACATTGTATCATTCAGGTCAAATTAGTCGCCTCAGACAATAATGTATTGTGATATATAGGTAACGTAATAAACCTCACAGGACCTTGCTTGTTTGTCGCCTCAAACGGACGTGCAGTGTGATACACGTCATATACGGCGTCTCACATGATCGTGTAGTGTGATACATGTCATATTAGTCGCCTCACATGATCGTGTAGTGTAAAATAGGTCACATTAGTCGCCTCACATGATCGTGTAGTGTGATATGATAGTGTAGTGTTTACAGGTCACATTAGTCGCCTCACATGATCGTGTAGTGTGATACCGATCACATTATACGCCTCACGGGGTCGTGTAGTGTGATACCGGTCACATTTGTCGCATCACATGATCGTGTAGTGTGATACCGATCACATTAGTCGCATCACATGATCGTGTAGTGTGATACCGATCACATTAGACGCCTCACGTGGTCGTGTAGTGTGATACCGGTCACTTACGTCGCATCACATGATTGTGAATTGCGATACATGTCACATTTGTTGCATCACATGATTGTGTAGTGGGATACAGATCACATTAGTCACCTCACTTGATATTGTAGTGTGATACATGTTCTATCAGTCGCCTCACATGATCGTTTAGTGTGATACATGTCACATTTGTTGCATCACATGATTGTGTAGTGTGATATATGTCACATTAGTCGCCTCATATGGTCAGGTAGTGCAATACAGGTCACTTTAGTCACCTCACTTGATATTGTAGTGTGATACAGGTCACATTTCCCACCTTATATGATTGTGTAGAGTGATATAGGTAACGTTAGTCGCCTCAAACTGTCGTGCAGTGTGATACAGGTCACACTAGACGCTTCACATGATTAAGTAGTGTGATTAAGGTCACATTAGTCGCCTAACATGATTGGGTTATTTTTGTTACAGATCACACAAGTCACCATTTAACTATCGTGTAGTGACGTAAACAGTGTTATTCCTTTAAAACCTTACCCCAGCCGCACTTCTTTATTTGGTATCATATATAAAATGGCTGTCATTTTGTATTACCCTTTCAATTATCCTTGTGTTTGTTATAGTACAGCGTTTCTTTGATAGCCTGGTTTTATACGCACAGGCTGTTTCCAAACTGCTCGGTTTGTTTGGCCTTAAATACATTGACTTAATCGTATGTACAATGCAATACTGCAATCGGTTTGATGTATTCGCAAATTTCATGTCAGAAAGTTTTCAATAGCTTCATTTAAATTGAATAGCGGTCCGAGGTCTGAAAACAGACGAAAAAGTTAATAAGAATTCACAAGGAATTCAGAGACAGCCATACACATCTTACACGATTGTAACGTGCATCATACCCATTAAACACAATTAAACAATGGCAGTGCCTATGCAGGCGATACATACCAGAACATATGTATTGTAAGTGTATTTAAATAAGTAATAGATATTTGCCTCAAGGTTATATGCCGTATATCAGAATTACAACAGAAAAAACAATAAGTAAGTAGTAATATTAGAAAACAACCAATGAGCACATTCTAATCATACATGTATTTAGCCATGGTCAGTTCATTGCGACAATATTGTTCAATTACTAATCAGAAGTCGCTATAGAATATGTAATGCTTAACTACGATCGGGTTATCTCAATTTTGACCAATCATAAGACTGTTTATTACAGCCATTTGAACAGGTAAATCGAGATTGTAAAAAAAAAAATGTCTGGCAAAACACCTACAAATCAAATTAAATTTTGACCAATCGGAAGTCAGGATTATGCTGTTGTATTGCCGGAAAAATCGCCCTGGTGATTATAGCATACGAGGGCCATTCAATCCCTTCTGTCAATAGTGTAAGACATCACATGTATGATGTATATAGTTTGATCTTTGTATTACAACTCTTCGAAGTATCCCCCTTAGCAGAAACGCGCTTTCGCAATCGCGATATGATATCAATGACGTAAACGGTTTCCCTCGGTATTTGTTTGTTTGTTTGTTTGATTTTGTTTAACGTCCTATTAACAGCTAAGGTCATTTAAGGACGGCCTCCCCTGTGTGCAAGATGCATGCGTGTAGTGTATGTGTGTGTATTTTGGGAGGCTGCGATATATTCGTGTTTGTCTTCTTGTAATAGCGCGGAACTGATGCCGACTTTATAGTGCTACCTCACTGAAACATACTGCCGAAGACACCCAGCAGGACGCCCCACCCGGTCACATTATACTGACAACGGGCGAACCAGTGGTATACTGGACAGACACTTTGCAGAGCATTTCTTCTAGAGGCATAGCGCTTCACAGAGAGCAGTTTTTAGTTAAGGAAACAGGAAGAAGTCGCATGGTCTTAGATATATGGTTTATTGGGTGGGCGGTCATTCTTTGCTACATTATCTTGCTTCAAAAACGCCTGTTCCAATATTACTTTCGTGGGATGAGGCATTGTCGTGCACTAGCTGGATGCCTTTCAGCCCTTTACCTGGACGCTTTCTCATGAAGAATCTTTTGACAGGCTCCAGTACTTTGTCTCTGTAAAACTTTGCAGTGATACTTTTCCCCTCCGTGTACGGTATCTGAACCGCAGGCCAACTATAATCGACAAATGATATACGACACTTCCTTGGCGTTTTTAACGTCTTGCAATCACTGGCCTTGCTTGATTTCTCGACAAACATTGCTTGCTATTAGACCCTTTCACATCTCGTGTAAGTAATTCAGAAAGCTGTCTTGATTACAGTACTGTTTCAATATATTTTTGACACTTTTCAAGCCTTTAGATCAGATGTCGGCAAATGGGAGATGTATTGGACACAAAACTTCCCTAATATAAAACACTTGATCAGAATGTGTCGTGTACTGTCTTCTGAAATGCCAACCATATAAGCTATCTCAAATAAAGTATAACGACCATCTTCATTAATAATTGCTTCCACAAACGCCACAGCGGGCCTGCCTGGCCGTGTGTCCTCTTTGGTGTCCATTTTACCGGTTCTGAGTTTGTCCACCCACGTGACAACAGCTCTCAGTGTGACGACAGAGTTACCTGTTACGTTCCACAACTCTACATGTAACTGTCTTTGCGGTATCTGTTAAGCACATCGTGCCTTTTGCTATAGAACGTATTCCAGATATAGTCTCAGCCTTCATTTTAGCATTGAAAAGTAGCCACTAGCCACTGTTTAATTCTTGTCGGATGTTTTAAAACGTTTCCATAGCTTTGTTCTTTAAACGGTCTTACTTTCTACCAAGGCGTAGCTAATCAAAAGCCTTGACAGCTATGTTTGCTGTCAGTTCGGGAAAAATGAAAAGCAATCTGCATATACATAGTTTCGTAAATATCCGGCATGCAGTCTCTGAGAAAGCTAGAAAGACTCGCCACATAATCAGTTAAGTCTCTTCATTCGGGTTTTGACATTTTCGTTAGTTATCATACAGCATCGTGACTCACAGTCACAGTTTACTCTCGTAATATCCAGGAGTGTAGATCGTAATAAATAAAGTCAGTGATTTTTTTTCCGGAATTATAAAGCGAAGTATTTGAAGTGCTTCGATAAAGTTGTGTGTATTTGATTTTGGTAGCCACTCCATAACATATCTTTTGATTTCTAGTATTCTAAGGTAACGTCAGAAAACCAGCCAACATCAATAGGAGTCCGTCATTTTAAAAAGAAATGTTGCTAAAACTAAAAACAAATAAAAATTTCAAACAACCACTTCAGAAAAACCTTGCATTTTAATAATTTGTATAGGATGAACAGAAATTCAAACTCAACGTTATAAAATGATTTGGTATGACTACCAGGATCTTGTGATTGAGAGAAACTTTTCATTAACATTGTTTCGTTAATATAGATACAGTCCATGGGGCCTCTTTTATTTTTTACTTTCGATAACATTTAACTACAAACAAATAAACCATTATGGAATGAATTCTCGTTACTTTTTATACGTCATCCGAGACGTGTTGTAAGGTCGACTGTATACACCAGTGTATTCCATCAAAATCGATTGTTTTGTTCGATGTAATTGCCTGTCCAGCGCTTTACTACTGCTACCCCTACAGGGTTCACTATAGATCCATGTGAGTAATAAAACCTGTTGCACCTCACAGCCGTGCTGATGCTTTAAAAGCATAATAGAGGCTTGTAACCTACTCTCAGCCATCAGTACGGTATACATTATGTATCGTCTATGAAGGTGATTGGGTTTTGTGAGTAAGGATTTGTATATCAACTACGGTCCGTACAAAATGTTCATTTGTTACGGAGCTCGGAGGAGAGCTTAGATACGCTGCTGGCGAGTGGGTTAAGGTGTCGTGTACTGTGTTACTGCTGACGGATGTGGACGATTCTATGGGATTCACGTGATTACTGATCAAAGTCCTATAATCGTACTGTGTTTTATACTGATGTGTTCTGTTGATAAAAAGTTCATCAGTAGTTGGATCTTGGAATATTAGGTTAGTAGTGAGTTTTTAATTTACTCGATATTCTTTTATAATATGCTTTGTCTATATAATTATATATCCGTTTTGATCGTGAAATATTAAGTTAGTAGATAAATTTTCAATTTACTCGATATTCTGTTATATATATAATGATTTGCCTACAAAGTTATATATATTTGATCATTTGAAAGTTGTCATAAATATGTTTACATTTAGTTATATCAATTTCTTTCGAAACGGTATTAAGGGAATGTATGTTATAGTTCTGTCATTTAAGGCGTTTTTATTTGACAGTGCGAAAGTGTTTCCCCCAAAGATGTTTCTATTTTAAAATATTATAGTTCTGTGAAAGGATTTTAATATTTGGCAATTTCATTTTCCTTTCAAAATGTGTATATTTCATTATAGCGAAAACGTTCCATTAAGGTATTTATATTTGGCCATAGCTTAGTTAAGTCAGAAACATGTCTGTTCAACTGACGATATGGTAGTTCTTTCAAAATCATGTGCTACTTTGAAAACAGTATATTTTTATAGATTAGGCAAGTAAGATATATCTTAGTATCACGATAATAAAAAGTATATTTTATGTTACATATAGTCAATTTTGTAATCGAATTCTGATTTCGGGTGGGTTTTTTTCGTATAGAGTAAATCATGTGTTATTTTGTCATTTATTTATCGTATAACATGGTTTTTGAGTAATGGAACTTTGATAACTGCTGTAGTTGGTTTCCGCATATAGTATATAGATTTGTGTAGCTGGAGCCGTGATGGGATTGTTTTCTGTGTTTGTATATTGTATGTAGATTATAGCAGTTTGTGTCGTGCTGGGGTTGTTTTCTGTGTTTGTATATTGTATGCAGATTATAACAGTTTGTGTCCTGCTGGAGTTGTTTTCTGTGTTTGTATATTGTTTGTATATTATAACAGTTTGTGTCGTGCTGGGGTTGGTTTCTTTGTTTGTATATTGTATGTAGATTATAATAGTTTGTGTCGTACTGGGGTTGGTTTCTGTGTTTGTATATTGTATATATATTATAACAGTTTGTGTCGTACTGGGGTTGGTTTCTGTGTTTGTATATTGTATATATATTATAACAGTTTGTGTCGTACTGGGGTTGGTTTCTGTGTTTGTATATTGTATGTAGATTGTAACAGTTTGTGGCTTGCTGGGGTTGGTTTCTGTGTTTGTATATTGTATGTATATGATAACAGTTTGTGTCGTGCTGGGGTTGTTTTTTGTGTTTGTATATTGTATGTAGATTATAATAGTTTGTGTCGTACTGGGGTTGGTTTCTGTGTTTGTATATTGTATGTAGATTGTAACAGTTTGTGTCTTGCTGGTGTTGGTTTCTGTGTTTGTATATTGTATATATATTATAACAGTTTGTGTCGTACTGGAGTTGTTTTCTGTGTTTGTATATTGTTTGTATATTATAACAGTTTGTGTCGTGCTGGGATTGTTTTCTGTGTTTGTATATTGTATGTGTTTTCTGTGTTTGTATATTGTATGTGTTTTCTGTGTTTGTATATTGTATGTAGGTTATAACAGTGTGTGTCGTGTTGGGGTTATTTTCTGTGTTTGTATATTGTATGTAGGTTATAACAGTGTGTGTCGTGTTGGGGTTGGTTTCTGTGTTTGTATATGGTATGTAGATTATAACAGTGTGTGTCGTGCTGGGGGTGTTTTCTGTGTTTGTATATTGTATGTAGATTATAATAGTTTGTGTCGTACTGGGGTTGGTTTCTGTGTTTGTATATTGTATGTAGATTGTAACAGTTTGTGTCTTGCTGGTGTTGGTTTCTGTGTTTGTATATTGTATATATATTATAACAGTTTGTGTCGTACTGGAGTTGTTTTCTGTGTTTGTATATTGTATGCAGGTTATAACAGTTTGTGTCCTGCTGGAGTTGTTTTCTGTGTTTGTATATTGTATGTATATGATAACAGTTTGTGTCGTGCTGGGGTTGGTTTCTTTGTTTGTATATTGTATGTAGATTATAACAGTATGTGCCGTGCTGGGGTAGTTTCCTGTGTTTGTATATTGTATGTATATTATATCAGTTTGTGTCGTGCTGGGATTGTTTTCTGTGTTTGTATATTGTATGCAGATTATAACAGTTTGTGTCCTGCTGGGGTTGTTTTCTGTGTTTGTATATTGTATATTGTATGCAGATTATAACAGTGGGTGTCGTGCTGGGGTTGTTTTTTGTGTTTGTATATTGTATGTATATTATACCAGTTTGTGTCGTGCTGGGGGTGTTTTCTGTGTTTGGATATTGTATGTAGATTGTAACAGTTTGTGTCTTGCTGGGGGTGGTTTCTGTGTTTGTATATTGTATGTATATGATAACAGTTTGTGTCGTGCTGGGGTTGTTTTCTGTGTTGGTATATTGTATGTAGATTATAACAGTGTGTGTCGTGTTGGGGGTGTTTTCTGTGTTTGTATATTGTATATTGTATGCAGATTATAACAGTTTGTGTCCTGCTGGGGTTGTTTTCTGTGTTTGTATATTGTATGTGTTTTCTGTGTTTGTATATTGTATGTGTTTTCTGTGTTTGTATATTGTATGTGTTTTCTGTGTTTGTATATTGTATGTAAATTATAACAATTTGTGTCGTGCTGGGATTGTTTTCTGTGTTTGTATATTGTATGTAAATTATAACAATGTGTGTCGTGCTGGGGTTGTTTTCTTTGTTTGTATATTGTATGTAGATTATAATAGTTTGTGTCGTACTGGGGTTGGTTTCTGTGTTTGTATATTGTATATATATTATAACAGTTTGTGTCGTACTGGGGTTGGTTTCTGTGTTTGTATATTGTATGTATATTATAATAGTTTGTGTCGTGCTGGGGTTGTTTTCTGTGTTTGTATATTGTATGTAGATTATAACAGTATGTGTCGTGCTGGGGTAGTTTCCTGTGTTTGTATATTGTATGTATATTATAACAGTGTGTGTCGTGCTGGGGTTGTTTTTTGTGTTTGTATATTGTATGTAGATTATAACAGTTTGTGTCGTACTGGGGTTGGTTTCTGTGTTTGTATATTGTATGTATATTATAACAGTTTGTGTCGTACTGGGGTTGTTTTATGTGTTTGTATATTGTATGTAGATTATAACAATTTGTGTCGTACTGGGGTTGTTTTATGTGTTTGTATATTGTATGTATATTAAAACAGTTTGTGTCGTGCTGGAGTTGTTTTCTATGTTTGTATATTGTATGTAAATTATAACAATGTGTGTCGTGCTGGGGTTGTTTTCTTTGTTTGTATATTGTATGTAGATTATAACAGTTTGTGTCGTGCTGGGGTTGTTTTCTGTGTTTTTTATATTGGATGCAGATTATAACAGCTTCGGTCCAGCTGGGGTTGTTGTCCGTTATTGTTAATTCCGTTTGAAGGGTTTTCTCGTTATCATGACAGGAATAATCTATTCTGATGTTTTATTATTTATATGCATACCAGTTTGAGTAGCTACTTGTTATCATTTGTAACGTAGTATTATTGGATTGTTTGAGATATAAATCCAACATACATATTATCACATCATTAACGCCGGTGTAGGTGTTCAGAATATCGCCACAATTGTGTATCTGATGTTGCCAGAACTTGACTAAGACGTATGCCTGTCTGTAATCAATTGGAACATCCGTATATCGCCAATGTTTCAAACGTGGGGTCTTACGTGACGCTTCTCAAATTGGTACATTGCCAGAAAAGGTTTCAATTGCACTTTAAAAATCTAAATGGCTTCAGTACGTAAATAATATGTTCACATATGTTCAACATGGATGTTGATGTAGGGAGAGGACTTATATATGCAATGCCTGATGTACAATCCTGTTGAATTCTTTCGTCAATAAAACATGTTGAAATTGAAATCGATGTCACTCCAAGTTTGGTGCTATATTTAAACAAAATAAAACAACTTAGAATCCAAACTTTTCTTGAAAATGAACCTTCATGGATACTCTTTATTAAAAAAAAATCAGGAAACATTTTTGATCTTTTTTTGGTGAATTCTTATTTGGAAAACTGTCAACTTGTACCGATTTCGGAAACGTCAAATACAGCTTTTTCCTTTCTTTTTTTTTTTGTCTCTTTCCGTATTTTTTGTTAGGTTTAGTAAAATTTTGACAAAAAATGAAGAATACCTTGTATATAAAGCCTAACGTGTTTTTAGGTCACCTAGTCTCAAGTGACCTATTGTGATCGCCTTTTGTCCGTCGTCGTCCGTCGTGCGTCCGTATACAATTTACATTTTCGACTTCCTCTCCAAAACCCCTGAACCAATTTCAATGAAATTTTGCAGGGACCTTCCATGGACAAAGGTCAACAAAAATAGTGGCCGGTTTAGTCCCAAGCCCCCAGGGGCCTGAGGGGCGGGGCCAAAAAGGGTCAAATTGACCAAAATTTCAAAAAACTTCTTCCCCAAAACCCCTGAATCAATTTCAATGAAATTTTGCAGGGACCTTCCATGGTCAAAGGTCAACAAAAATTAGTGGCCGGGTTAGTCCCAAGCCCCCAGGGGCCTGAGGGGCGGGGCCAAAAAGGGTCAAATTGACTAAAATTTCAAAAATCTTCTCCACACAGATAGGGTATGAATACACTTCATATATGGAAGGGTCTTAAGGTGCTTTACCGAAATTTTGAATTTCTTGACCGTGGGGTCTCACGTTTCCCCCTGGGGAGGGGGTAAACTTTACTATAGTTTATATAGGGAAATCACATTTTGGACCAACATTTGTTTAATTTCCATTGGAAGTAATTCAATTTGGGTTAGCATTATCAGTATTAGGTAGCAGTTTGATAGTATGCACCTATGAGCCCTGACTGACCCCCAGGGGCTGATGGGTGGGGCCAAAAAGGGTTGAATTGACTAAAATTTCAAAAATCTTCTTCTCAAGACCGTGATATGGTAGAATCAAATTCTCTTCATAGATGGAAGGGTCTTAAGGAGCTTTACCGAAATTGTGAATTTCTTGACCCTGGGGTCTCACGTTTCCCCCTGGGGAGGGGGTAAACTTTACTATAGTTTATATAGGGAAATCACATTTTGGACCAACATTTGTTTAATTTCCATTTGAAGTAATTCAATTTGGGTTAGCACTATCAGTATTAGGTAGCAGTTTGATAATAAACACATAACAGCCCTGACTGACCCCCAGGGGCTGATGGGTGGGGCAAAAAAGGGTCGAATTTACTGAAATTTCAAAAATCTTCTCAAGACCCAGATATGGAAGAATCAAAAACTCTTCATAGATGGGAAGGTCTTATGGTTTATGACCCTAGGGTCTCTCGTTTACACCCTGGGGAAAGAGGGTGGGGGGCGGCAAAATTTATTATGGTTTATAATGGCAAATGATACTTTGAATATTACATGTTAATAACTTGATTGGAATTATAACCTTGAGTTGACAGTTAGATACTTTGAAAATTTTGAGTCAGCCCTACCCCTGAGGGCTGTAGGGTGGGGCTCAAAGGAGTCAATGTGCTAACATTTCTTCATTTTCATTGTTTAGAATCAGAGGTGCTAGTTTCAAATCCTTTTTAGTCTGAAATCTGTATTCTAGATATTGAATAAGGTGGTGTTATTGTTTTTGTCACTTTGAATAATATTTCTGTTCGTGTTAAAAACAAAATCAACTCTTTGTATAAATATATCAGGTGACCGTTAAGGCCCATGGGCCTCTTGTTAGTACATTATATTTAGACATATGCTATTGCTGGTAAAATATTGGCGTTGCAATTAATTTGTTTTTTAAGTCGAACGTACAGACGATGTTGATGAAATGCTGTGATTGCCATTGTGTTCAATGATGATAGGGTGAACGAGTGATATATACATAAACGTGTATACTGATACTACATGCTCGTAGGTAATACGACATATATACGTGTATACTGATACTAAATGATCCAAGGTAATACGACATGTATACGTGTATACTGATACTACATGATCGAAGGTAATACGACATATATACGTGTATACTGATATTACATGCTCCAAGGTTATACGACATATATACGTGAATACTGATACTACATGATCGAAGGTAATACGACATACTTACGTGTATACTGATACTACATGCTCCAAGGTTATACAACATATATACGTGTATACTGATACTACATGCTCCAATATAATACGACATACATACGTGTATACTGATACAAGATGCGTCAAGGTAATACGACATACATACGTGTATACAGATACAAGATGCTTCAAGGTAATACGACATACATAAGTGTATACTGATACTACATGCTCCAGGGTTATACAACATATATACGTGTATACCGATACTACATGCTCCAAGGTTATATAACATATATACGTGTATACTGATACTACATGTTCCAATATAATACGAGATATATACGTGTATACTGATACTACATGCTCCAAGGCAATACGACATATATACGTGTATATTAATACTACATGCTCCAGGGTAATACGACGTACGGCTTATTTTGTTTAACGTCCTTCATGTGTGTTGTGCATGCGTGCTTGCGTATGGTTGTGCAGGAGGCAGGGTGTGTTGGTGTACTTGCCTCATTGCGATAGCGTGGATCTGATGCCCTTTTTAATCGTAGTCGTTTGATCTTGAAACACTTACTAACGTTTCAATATGTTATATTCATTAAACAAGCATTTATATGTTAATTTTTCGTTACTGAACTTCTTGATAATAAATGCACAGTACGCTTTCGTCTTTAAGGGTGTTGTCAAGAATTTTGATTTTTATCACTGCAGGGAACTGGACGAGTCGGTGCCATGCACGTGTGTCAGTAAACAACACACCTGTATAAACGCTGGTAGAGCTAGATAAGTGCCTTCAGACGCTCGGAGAGGCTGTGTGGTATTGCGGGTTATTGTTATTGATCATTTTATTAGGGAGAACGGTTGTGACGTAAAGTAAAAATTAAATTTCACGCCATTTCGCAAAGTGAAACGTGTGTACTCCTTTCAACTTGTGTTGTTAGCATTCACCGGAAATATATCGTTGCACACAAACGAAGGTTCACAACTTTAGTTAACGGATTAATAAGTTAAATTCGAACTTTATTGTGAAACGTTATCATGGACCGGATATCGGTGAATAGGTTCTCCTTCCGCCGGAAGGGTAGTACGAGAAAGGATAAAGACAAAGAACACAGCGCTGCTTTTGACTACTCGAAACTTTCCTATATCAGGTAAGATTTGTCAATAAGATGTTTTTCAATATTAACATTATATTGTGTTTTGTCTTATTTTGTATAAATGTACACTTTGCTTTGCGTTCCGGGCTTAAACTTCCTATACTTTTGATAGCGTTCAGACGACCTTGCTTATCGATGGCGAAAGACAAAATATTGGCAAAGAAAGAATCGGTGGAATGTTTTTATATTTAATCAAGTTGCTGTCATGTCCTCGAATGTGATTGGCTGATGCTCTCCATACATAGATGGCACTGCATAACGATCACTAAATGACAAACATTTGAAAATGTATGTTTGACCGTTTGGCTCTTATAAGCTAAAATAGCACTCCGCAACAAACAACGGTGTGTCTTAAGAACAAAGTACGCTTACATATCGCGTACTGTTCAGTCTCCAGCGTATACCTCGCGGACACACTGTCCATATATTCCTGTCACGGCCTACCCACAACAGCCAGTGAGTTCTGGCAGTAAAGTCCAGCTTTCTTATAATGTCCCACGGCAATTTGGCTTTATCATTTCACTTGATGCCACCTTTGAATATTTACTTACTTATTGACATTTAAGTCAGAAGTTTGTGTTCACATTTCATTTTATTGCAACCATATGCTTCCATTTCCTGAACTTATATACAAAGCCTGTCGTGAGGAAAACAATTAATCATGATAGTTTAAAATGTGTGTATGATATGTTTTGTTCCTGTCTGATTGCTTTCGTTATTTAGTTTATTAAATCATTTCGCAGAATGAATCTGTTAAAACAGCAACCATGAACGTATATATGAGACAGGAAGCAGTATACGTGACAGACCACTGTTTGTCGTTACAATGTTCCATCATTTAACTACTCTGTTGTGCAATGTATACAATTACTTGTGTAGATAACCTTTAACACGATAGTCCCTAGTGCTCCTGATGCTGTGCTGTCGTTCACCACAGTTAAAGTACGTAGGAAGCGACTGGGACAGGGCTAATTTTACAGGCTAAAGAGATCTTATTGTTGTTACATCATGATGATCAATAAATTATCTTTCAAGCGTATGACTGAACAGGAAATCAGGATTGTACAGTTTGTATGTTCGGTAAAACAACGCGGCGTTCCTAATACTTCCAAGCGTATGACTGAGCAGGAAGTCGGGATTGTACATGTATTATATTCTGGTAAAACAACGCGGCGTTCCTAATCCTTCCAAGCGTATGACTGAGCAGGACGTCGGGATTGTACATGTATTATATTCTGGTAAAACAACGCGGCGGTCCTAATACTTCCAAGCGTATGACTGAGCAGGAAGTCGGGATTGTACATGTATTATATTCTGGTAAAACAACGCGGTGCTTCTATTACTTCCAAGCGTTTTCCTGGACATGGAGGCAGGATCGTATATGTTATGTTTTCTGATAAAACAACGCGGTGGTCCTATCACTTCCATTTATATCTCTGTTATGCTTGCTCTCTCAAATATATTTGTAATCAACCAGCCATTGTGTTTAAGAGTAATACTAACAAAGGACCTTACTGATGTCAAGGCGATTCCTTAATTATCAATTGTGGTCGGTTTTATGTGTTGACCGTTTGACAATTGAAAATAAGTCCATGACGTATGGAAATTTTGCCATGTATTGATTAGAATTGTACCTGAGGTGGGTTCTCATTAAACACAGATTAACGTTTCACTTATTGGTGTTGGGTTTTGTGATCTTGCATATAACTAGATGTTACAAACGAACAAACCTTTCAACAGTTCGTGTCCAATAAAAACGGTGTTCACAGATGATGTGAACTCAGTCACTTTACAATGAAATATGATATTCAAATATTGTTTTACGATACTACACTATTGATATACTCATAACCTAATTATTTTCGCGAAAATATGATTGCCAAAATATTTTGTCTCGATGTGTGACCTCAGAAATAAACGACGTGAGAAAACATTAAGTTAGAATCGAAAAATAGAGCCTCTCACCCACTTAGTGGTGAAATAGGAGGATATCAACACGAGGGTGGATATTCTCAAATTACCAAACACAAGGCGTGCCGATTGAGAATCTTTACGGGGGTTGAGATTCTCTATCTCACCTCAATGTGGCTAATCTTGTTAATCATGTCATATGCGTAATGCAACGTTGATCTCGCAGGATTAACGAATTGTTGACGTGACGTCATATCATTGTTTTGACAGGGGAATCCCCCCGTCTGAATCTTTGGATGAGGCAGGGATATTTCACCCAAGGTAAAGAGTGGATACACCTGTCAAGGTAAAAGGATATTCCCACCCATGCGTCAAACACCCACAGTTACAGCCGAGCGGTTAAAATTGTACTTTAGTAAGGTACCTAGAACCGTTGTAATGGGAACCGTTCTCACCTATCGTAGTTACCTCCCTTTATAACCCAAAGGAAGGTTTCTTATTTTGGTATTTATTGTCACTAAGTTATCTTGAATATCATTATTTTCAATACTCATATCTCGATTGTTTTCCTGACATCACATAACACGCTTTACTTCCTGTAACGACCGAGCACTTACAACCGGTCAATATGGCAGGAGTGGTCGATCGCACCACAACTTACTGCCGGAACATTGCTACGGCTGAAAAGGTCTCGCCACGCCTTATTAATGATATCTTATCAGTCATATGGAGGTAGCTATTACAGTTTCTCGCTGGAATGGCGTCACTCCTAAACAGGTGATCACAGGAGCTAAATAATAAAACATTGCCATCTCCATAGGTATGATTATGACTGCTGATTGATAGATCGCCTTTGATGAGAGGTCAAACCTTGTTTGGATGTATGTTTGTGTTGAGGTGAACGTCCTCACTACAGCCATTGTCACGAGAAGGCGGATGCCTTCGGAAAAACAACCGAAAAGAAGGCGTAGACAGAGTAAAAGAACTAAATCTCGGGGCAACATATACATTATGGTTTTGTCGATGTCCCCTTAGCAGAACACGCCGCGGAAGACCTCCGTGCCTACAGGGGATCAACATTAGTCACTTCTAATGGCATGAAGTGGGATATAGCAGGTGTCTAGTCATTGGTTCTGATATAATATTGTTGTTTATCTAAAGGTTATCATTTCAGTTTATTTGCAGAAAACTGCCGTTCCTTAAGCTATCCAATTCGAACATAGTCATTGCTGTAGTTGTATATCTGCTCATTGATAGAGCATTATGATTTCTGCTAACATCATCCATCTGTAAGGTTGATTGATAGATCATTGCCGTTTCTGTTGCGGTCTCCGTTCTACTCTCTGGGTAAAAGCATTGTGATTTATGGTGAGGTGATCACAACAGATCATTGATGACCTTACCATTACCACAACTGTTGTAGGAATGTTAACACCTTTAAGTGGGTCGGCTACACATGCCGTCTTTTGGTAGTGCAGACTAGCATTAACATCGATTAACACCATCATTTCATCTTAGCATCATCACTCATTGACAGGTCGAGTGGCTTGGTTATACAAAATAGTGCAAAAACTGTTTGGATGTTTGATGTTAGAATAGTATGAAATATGGTCTTTGGAAATAGCTGAAGTTCTTGTTCAGTAATCCACACGATATAATGACACATGCACACTAATGCATTGTGTGAATCCAAGCTTCAAACAGATATATTTCAGTGTACCATGGTCAACATGAAATATATTGATTTCACTGTGCAATGTTCAATCTGAATTAAAGCTTAAAGTGTGTAGATTTCAGTATTCCATTGTCAACCATGGTCAACATGAATTCTAGCTTCAAATATATCGATCATATGTGTCACGTTCAATATGAATTCCAGTTTCAACTCTTATGTATTTCCCTGTTACATGTTAAATCTTAATTTCAGCTTCAAATATGTAGCATTCAATGTGTCATGGTCAATTTGAATTCTAGCTTCAAATGGTTTGATTTCAGCAACCCTGGTCAAAGATATAAAGTGTTGGTGACATGCATGTTTTTCTCTATTTCAGAGGAACAATGATGATAGAGAGTAATATGGGGATCATGTTGTATTCGTACTATGTAGTTCGTGGCCCATGCATCAAACTTTACTTCACATTGTGCCATGTTTAATCTGAATTCTAGCTTCAAGCGTGTATATGTCAGTGTGTCATGATCAAACTAAATTCCAGCTCCATTCCTATTGATTTCAGTGGCCATAGTCAAAGATTTAAAGTTTTCGTGACAGACATTTTTTACTCTATTTTAAAGGAACAATAACCAGAGCGCCATGGGGTCATGTTGTATTTTTATTATGCAGTTTGTGTCTCATGGCTACCATTACTATTCCCCTGTTATGACCTGTCCTGTTTGCGCGTGATGACTCTACCATACATCTATAATGTATTGTTCCCATTGTACATCATACTGTCAAAGTCCCTATTATACCGTTCTGGCTCCACCGAGTAATGTAGCTAATATACTAATGGCCGTCCGACTCGTCCTCGGAGAGCCCATCTCGTTTCTCTCCACATTTCAAAGGATTTATCCCAAACAGCTCTTTCGGAAGTCCCGTCTGTGTCTATCGGAAGTCCAGTCTGTGTCTTTCGGAAGTCCCGTCTGTGTCTTTCGGAAGTCCTGAGTCTGCCATTGTATATTGCGTATAAACATCGATTGTTCTGCCCAGAATGGTCTTATGAGGTCTGGCTGTCATAGTGTTCTGGTCCTAAATCCACTACTCTATATAATGTAACAGGTGTTACTCAAACTGCGTAACTAGACATACGATATATTCTGCGTTTTACCCTTTTTAAGGCAAACCACAAGTTAATTAAACAAAATCTGAAACTCTGTGATGCTGTATATTTGCATTAATAACCAAACAAATGTCTGGCTATATTATATTTTCATTTTCAAATTGAAATTCGTGAATGGTCAAAATGTCTTTCTATTTGTTTCAGTGCATCAAATGTGCTGACATTTGCTTGTTGATATTTTTATAAAACCGCTATGCCTGTGCACGCTTATTCTATGGTGTTTGGGTTAACAGCAATATGTGTGTT